TGACTGGTACCCTGTGGTCAACCCTACCCTACCTTGCATAGACTAAGAAATATTGTATCAGAAAGAGCTGCACTGATGGCATATCATGGATATATCTCATCCATACTAGGATATGGTGTTCGGTGGATTCGGATAAAGCATTTAAAGCACAAAAACGCTGCATAAGAGCTCTTTGTGGTGTTGGTCCTTTAGTGAGTTGCAAACCTTTGTTCAAAACTAAAAAGATCCTGCCTTTGCCTTCATTATACATATTTGAAATGTGCATGTTTGTTCATAAGCATCCACATTTATTTCAACGTAGTATAAGTAAGGGTAGATACAAGAATAGGTTATATGCACCAGCAAATCGTCTAAAAGTTACAAAAAGAAATGCTTCTGCAATGTCGATAAGAATTTATAATAAATTACCTGATAATTTAAAGAGTAAAAGTTTATTGTCATTTAAGAAATCTGTTTTGGCATTGTTGCTCACTAAATGTTATTATTCTGTAGAAGAGTTCTTAAACGACAACGAACTACACACGAGTAATAATGAATGATAATTTTAAAATATGATTAATTACGTAATTACAAGATTCCAATGTTTAAAAAAATGTTTTTGATATTATTTTATATAAAATTTGACTTATGTATTTAATTAACCTTCCTATACCCGCGCGTTGGTCTGTGAGACCGACAAAATACTCTTTTGCGTTTTTTTCTTTATACATCAATGCTGACATTTTGTACTTTCTGTTAGCTGCCTGATTCGTTGCTACATTCATTCCAATGTGCACAGTGCGTTCGTGCGAGCAGCACGTGTGGTCGTTTTTGATGCCAATTGGTTTGTGGGACCGACGCGGGTATAGGATAAATTTTTTGTGTAAGTAATAACTTCTATTATTCTTATAAAATTCGCTTGTTATTTATAGTTTTGTATCATTATATTATGGATAAACATTGTTTATTATTTTTAGGTTATATTTTGCGTCAAGATGGACGAAAATCAAATTAGATTGATGTTGGAAGAAGAAAATTCTGATTCTGACTATGAAGATGAAAACGATAGTGAGGTAGAGGATTTTGTTGAAATACAAGAAGATAGCTACAATAGCGAGCAAGAGGATAATTATGAGCATGAGCAAGAGGGTCAATCTGCAGAGAAGAGCAATTCTCAAGTGGAGTCGGAAGATCATCAAACATATATAAATTGTTACCTCGGAAAAGACCGTCACACGAGGTGGAACAAAACTCCTGTGTCAAATCCAGTAAGAAGACGTGCTAGGAACATCGTTACTCAACTTCCAGGTGCTAAAGGTGGAGCTAAGTATTTGAAAGAACCCGGTGAGATATGGAGGTTATTTTTCACGGAGGATGTTATTGGTAGGATGGCAAAGTACACTAACGAACAAATAAAACGAATTTCATCTCAATTTATAAGAGAAAGAGACTGTATTGAAACAAATGAGATAGAACTTGATGCACTCTTAGGTCTCTTACTCTTTGCTGGCGTTAGAAAAATTGTCGACTGAATGCTAAAGATTTATTCAAGACTGATGGCTCGTCACCAGAGATATTTCGATTGACCATGTCCTGGAACCGTTTTTATTTACTGTTACAGTGTCTTAGGTTTGACGACAAAGACACACGAGTTGTACGTGCTTCTCTTGATAAACTAGCACCCATCAGAGAGCTTTTTGAAGAAATTATAGCTGGATTTAAAAAATATTACAGTTTGTCTCAGTTCGTCACAATTGACGAAAAACTAGAAGCATTTAGAGGTCGTTGTAACTTTAGACAATATATTCCATCGAAGCCCAATAAATACCGTATAAAAATCTACGCCCTGACTGATGCCAAAATGTTTTATACCCAAAATATGGAAGTTTACGTTGGACAACAGCCTGCAGGCGCATATAGACTTGATAACTCGTCAATGGCTTTGGTTTTGCGACTCAGTGAAGGTATCTATAATACTGGCCGTAACATCACATGTGATAATTTCTTTACCAGTATTCCCTTGATAGATAAACTTGAGTCACAGAAGTTGTCCCTGATCGGCACACTTCGCAAAAATAAAAGCGAACTGCCCAAACAGTTTACGGAGATAAGAGGCCGAGAAGAAAAATCCAGCTTATTTGGGCACCGAGGCAATTGTACACTTGTATCTTATGTGCAAAAAAGGGTAAGAATGTTTTACTTGTGTCTAGCATGCATGATGATGCTAAAATCGACGTCGAAACCGGTAAACCTGAATTGATAATGGACTACAATGCGACAAAAGGTGAAGTTAATACTGTCGACAAAATGTGCGAAACCTATAACGTTGCACGAGGCACAAACAGGTGGTCCATGGTAATTTTCTACAGTTTGATGAATGTAACGGGTATAAATTCGTATGTTTTATATCTGCAAAACAATCCCAATAAGAAAGTCAACCGTAGAACTTTTCTGGAAGCTTTGTCCTATGACCTCATAAATTCGCATCTCAGGAGACGGGCGGCCAACACGTCATTGCCAAAAACTCTAAAGTTACGGCTCAATGAAATATGTAAATTAGATGGTCCTGGACCTGCAGCAACATCTAATAGCAATAAAATCGGCCGTTGTGCATTTTGCACGTCAAAAAAAAACTGTAAGACTTTTTTGTATGGAACACGCGCTTATGGTATGCTCTGACTGCTATAGTGAGACTTCTGCCTAAGAATAGTTATAAGTTTACTGTTAATGTACTTGTTATAATTAAGATCAAAGTTTGTTTTAGTTTATTATAAGAAGAAAAAATATTTTTGTTACATTTTTATTAGCTCATATGACAAACTTATTATTTTCCAGAGACTGTAATAAAAGACTGTTAGTCAGTAAATAAATGATACAATGTCGATAAATTGTTTTTTTTTATTAACCTGATACTCCCTAGTTTTAGGAAAACGTAATTTCATTATACGTTTTCTTGAAAAAGTACCATGAAATTGGGTTCCGAACTTTCGGTCTATGAGACCGTGCACGGGTATAGGTGTCACAATATTTGGCGCGGGTATAGAAAGGTTAATTAATAAATTTGATGTAATAATAGAAAGAAATTAATGACAATTGGATATGTAACATTATATAATTATTGACATAAGAATAATAATTAATATATGACATTGACCTATAATAATAATCTTACTTAATATAATAATACTTACTTATATATTTTGATGGCATTTTCTGACACTTTGGCATAATAAATTAATTATCAAATCAAATAAATAATATTAAATAATTTTATATTTTGTTAAATTAATATATGTTGTTAAATTCGATAAGTGTTGTTGTTCAGGTTACTTGACCATTAATATTTGCACACCACTAAGGTAGAATATGTAGAACGAATTATACTCAAACACCATTGTACAACCATATTCTTGCACATAAAGATTATTATTATTATTTTCGGAGTGTTTTTCACTTCTCAGTCCTTGGACTGGAATTAAACTACATTTACGGGCCGAAACCAAAGCAAATGCAGCGTGAGGTGTGTATATTTATTTTCATGGGGTCCTATTTCGTTTACTTCTACCTGCATGAATTTCCTGACAATTCTGCATGTATTTATAATAGCAGCTTTTTGCAGTGTTATGTAGAGGGTTTCCTTTAGGTCTAATACTGTTAACCTATGGAGGAGATGTTTTGGTATTACGCCTGTTGTGGAGAGGACTATAGGAACCACATATACTTTTTCTTGTCGCCAGATTCTAGTCACTTCATCTTTGAGCTCCGCGTACTTACAAATTTTTTCTGTGATTGTCTTCTGTATGTTGTGTGTATGGGGAACTGCAATGAAAAAATCAGGTACGTAATTTTATTTATTTTGTCTTGTAGGATTATATCTGGTCTGTTATAATGGATTGTCTTGTCAGTAAGAATGGCGCGGTCGTACAAGAGTTTGTTTATTATTATTATTTTTTTGGGGTATCTATAAAGTTTTCTCATCTGGTTGGGCAGTATAAATATATAATTGTAAATGAAAATGGTAAACATACATAAATATGAATAAAATAAAATAAATACATAAAGAATACATAAATATATAAAAACCCAACCAGATGGAAGCCCTCGGCAGGGGAGACCAGACCGAGAGGAGCACCGCCTTCTGCATTTCAGCCTGGAGCGGTCCGTCACGGAGTCCCAGTCGCCTCAGATGACCCGGGAGGCTGACTGGGATTAACCCGTTCGCAGAAACGACCACAGGAATAATTTCGGTCGGCAGACCACCCCACATGCCGGTAACCTCGTGAGCCAGGTCCAGATATTTTGTCACCTTATCTGTTTCGGCTTTCACGAGGTTCTCGTCATAAGGAATGGTAATGTCGACCAAAAAGATCCTTGACTGTGCCCGGTCCATCAGCACAATAACAGGCTTATTCGCAAGAATAGTCCTGTCTGTGATGATGACCCGGTCCCAGTAGAGCCTGGCGCGGTCATTTTCAAGCACGGCTTCCGGGAAGTACTTATAATACGGCAGTTTCCGATCCACGAGGCCGTATTTCAGAGCGAGCTCCTGGTGTAGAATCCTGGCTACTAGATTGTGTCTGTGCAAATACTCAGAGTTAGAAAGCGCCGAACAACCGGAGATGACATGCCTAAGTGACTCACCGGGATGGCGACAAGCTCGACAGATGTCGACGGCGCCATCCTTTAGGATGTATCTCCGATAATTGTTGGTCTTAATAACCTGATCCTGTATCGCACAGACAAAACCCTCGGTTTCCCCAAAGAGGTCACCGAAACGTAGCCAGTGAAGGGAGGCGACTGTGTCTACGAAAGGCTCATGTAGAGCCTTGTAGAACCTCCCGTGGAGCTCCTTCTCCTTCCATACGGCCTCCCGGTCGGAAATGCACTGTACTGCTGGGTCTTGCCATTGCTCGTTGGCTAAGGATAGAGGGGTCAGTCCTTTATCACAAGAAATAACGTCCCTATAGTATGGATCATCCGCTCTCGTCAGAAAGTAATTACGGAGGCTGCACACTTCGCGATTATGCATGGTAAGCGCGCTTAAAAAGCCGCGCCCACCCTGCTTCCGCGGCAAGTACAGCCTCATTACTGACGATCTCGGATGATGCATCCTGTGGGACGTCATTATAGTGCGGACTTTTCTGTCCAGAGCGTTTAGTTCGGTCTGAGTCCACCTAAGTATGCCAAAGGTATACATGAGAACAGGCATGACCCAACCGTTATATGCGTGCGTCTTATTCACACCGGACAAAAGACTGTTAAGCACTTTTGTCAAGCGTGCATAAAACACATCGCAAACTGACTGTTTCATACCCGCCTCATCAACACCGATGTTCTGTGACATACCCAGGTATCGGTATGTTTCAGCCTCGGAAAGGATCCTTATGTTGATGGGCATAGATAAATCTATGCCCTCAGAGTTAGCAACCCTTCCCCTTTCAACATGGAGGACTGCACACTTATCCGTCCCCAGCCCCTTTCCAATAGAATTGCTAAAATCACAAGTGATGTTTAGCAATTCCACAAGATGAGAGCGACTGGAGGCGAATAACTTGAGATCATCCATATAGAAAAGGTGGGTCACTTTTGTACCTCCCCTCCGAAGCTGAAATCCCCTCCCGGAGCCCTCCAGTAAGGTACTGAGAGGGTTCAGAGAGAGGCAGAACCAGATTGGACTCAGACAATCGCCCTGGAAGATACCCCTTCTTATCCTTATGTGGTTCTCCGCAGCCGTCATCCGCTCGCCTAGATGACAAAGAATCGTACTCCACTGCCCCATATACTGCCCGAGGAAGTCTCTAACTGTACAGTCAACCTTGTACAGCTCGAGGACCCTCTTCAGCCATGTATGAGGCACCGAGTCGAATGCCTTTTTGTAGTCTATCCAGGCGGCGGATAGGTTCCGACAGTTGCGTTTAACCACTTTGCCAATGACCGCGTCAATGAGGAGTGGTTCCTTGGTTCCACGACCACCGCCCCGACATCCATTTTGAGCGCGCGACATCACCTGATTTGAGTTCAGGTGACGAGTGATTCTCGCGCTCAAAATGGATGTTAGTGTCTTATATATCGTGGGTAGACACGTGATGGGGCGGTATTTGCTCGGGTCTATGGTATCCCGGTCTTTAGGAACCAAATGAGTGATCCCAGTAGTGAAGAGGCTCGGGAGCGACTTTTGGTCGAGAGCCTCTTGAAATTGTCGGGCGAGCACAGCGTGACACACCACGAACCGCTTCAGCCAGTAGTGATGCAGCCCGTCGAGCCCCGGACTTTTCCAGTTCGGGGCCCATGGGCGTAAGATTCGCACACTGACTCACCACAACTTCCGTCCAAGGGCCCTCGCTGTGGTTTACGGGCTCTGACCACAGGCCGCGCCAGAATGCGACAGTGTCGGCCTGATTCGGTGCTTGGCCCGTTCCACGTACCATTGGTCGCTCCAAAGATTTATATAGCCTCTTCTGATCACTCTGGAAGAGACGATTCTGGTTGAACCGTGTCGACCTCTCGGTATATCGCCGAATTCGCTTCCCCCAAGCAGCGATTCTCTGCTTCAGGTCGTCTATGCGCTCCGTCAGTTTTTGCGTTATATCCGGCTGGGACAAACTGATATTTGTCCCAGCAAACGCCATTCTGACGGTGCGCACAATTCGTGGCCTATTATTGCCCGACCTGAAGCTTATCAGCCTGCCGATGAGGGCCCTTGCCTTTACGATACGGTCCTCAATCCTTATTCTCCAGGCTGGGGTGGCGCTACTTTGTCTAGTAGCGCGTCCAGCCGTGGGAAGTTTGGCGCCAACAATACGGCAAACTGCCAGTGCGGCGCCAAAAAGAATTGAGTCCGTCTCGCAAAGGTCCCGGCTGGCTTCCAAATAGGTCACCAGCATTGGGTTGAGAGCCCTCACGACGGCCCGATTCCGCTTGCTTAGGGGTATGCGCGGGAGTCGCGGTCGATTTTCGAGAGGCGTACTGCGCGTTTCCACAATCGCCTCCTCCAATTTACTCCTCATCTGCTCTAGTTCTTGGGTGACCATTCCATCATCGCCTGAATCAACCAGAGCAGGGAGATCCATGGCGCCCTCTATATGAGGCTGATGGTCTGTGGCCTGAAGAGCCGCATCCCTAGCTATAGTCGGTTCATTCGATGAGGGAATAGCCTCACGTCGTAGTCGTTCGAGTTCGGCATCATCAAATATTTTCGAGCGTATGATGTACCGAACTCGGTCTGCCAGGTTTTGCTCCGTGACGGGAACTGACGGCTCAAGCTCAGCAAAAAAGCGATGCATCCGAACCCGATACGCTATCCCTCCAATTTCTTCCCCTTTCGCCCTATAGTACGCCCGCAATGCGTTTATGTTCATATTTTTTGTCCAACGCATGCGGCGTACTCCACCAGCGGCGGGTGCCGCTTGCCGAGTCCGAGAGGACCCCGCCGACACCAAGCCATCTGGTGGGGATGATGGACGCGAGGGGCTGCTAGGTGGTCGTGCAGCACCTCGCGCTCGGCTGGCGGCTCGCATGCTGTCACGTCCAGCGCTAGCTCCAGACGCGCCCCGGCGACCCCCAGGCAGCGGCCCTATGCGCGCTCTATTATTTTCCATCATCCATTAAATTGGGCGTCAATTAACGGGAGACGCCCAGACCCGGCGCCGTTTAATAGTGTGGCCGTAAGCACAAACGGGCCTTTGTACCCTCAATACTGCCGAGGCATGGTGCTTACACCTCTTGGCAAGGCACTGTCTGACTGTGCTGACATAGCAGTTTTGTCACTTAACTGTTACGTCAGCGGGCGATGGGGTCGTCACTTCCCTACGCCTTATTATTATTATTATTATTACCTCCAGAGCTTGGTAATTTTTGTTTGCTTGTCAGCCGTTCAGAATAATTGTCCATAGGCCATTTGGGATCCGCCCTCTGTTGCTCGTCGAGGGGGCTACTATGGGCCCTAGCCCAGTCGACTTTTGTCGGGGCAACTCAGGGCGTGAACAATAATTTAACCAATTTAATAACATTTCATTGCATTATCCATCAGGAAAACTTGGCGTCGCGTATTGTAAATCCAGAAATAGAAGCTATAATGAAGACAGTTATCAATATTGTTAATTACATACGAGGAAGAGAATTGAGCGACAGAAGATTTAAAAGCCTTCTGGAAGAACTGAGAAGTCAGTATGACGACGTCCTTTTACATACCTCGGTGCGATGGCTTAGTAGAGGAAAAGTTTTGGAAAGGTTTTTTCTTTGCGCCATGAAATAATACTGTTTTTAGAGCAAAATAATAAAATGTACCCCGAATTACAAAATAATCAATGGTGGTGTATTTTAGCCTTCCTATGTGATATTACGGAAAGACTCAATAATCTCAATCAGAGTTTACAAGATGAAATAATATCCAATCCAATATGGCAAATAAAGTGTTTGCATTTGAGGAAAAGCTAAGCATTTATCATGAAAATATACAGAACAAACAGCTGCAAAATTTTCAAACTATGATAAAAACTACAAAGGACGGCACCAACATTTTGGAAGAAAACTGCTCCATAATTTCAAATTATATAACTGCACTTTTAAACGAATTTCGAAAAAGGTAAGGAAAAAAAAAGTTAGTTACTTATAAAAAATCCATGGCATTTAGAAACTAAAATCTCAGTGTTAGCTTCAGTTTTGAATTGTAATTACTCAGAGTAGTTTGATGAATTCATCGATTTTAAAAACACTTTTAAAGACACTAATCTAGAAGTTTTCTTTAAATGAAAAAGGGCAAACAGGGAATATGTGGAATTTTAGAGTATTGTTCCCCAAAAATATAAAAGCGTCCAAAGATGTGCCCAAATACTACTAACATTCTTTGCGTCTACGTTTGTGTGCGAATCATCTTTTTCAAAAATGAAATACAGAAAGGCCGTACAGAAACAAACTTACATATTCTCATCTGGACAATGTAATAAGGATAGCATGTAGTGACAAGCCAGATCTTGAAAAAGTTTTGAAAAAGTGTTCACAGTATCAAAAATCGCATTAAAACATATAAACATATTTGTTAAAACTTCTTTTTTTTTCAGTAATAAAGTAAATACATCGTTAACTTGGAATTACGTTTTAATTAAGACCTAAATAATTTTTGCTTGCGGCCATCGACATCACGACTGCAACGTGTTTGTGGCCCCTATAAAAAAAAGTTCAGTATGGCTGCTGTAGACCATAGACTTACACCTATTCTTGCATAAGAAGCAACAGACAAATGCGTTGTCACTCCCACAAACGTGAATGCCTCATTGCCAGCAGAAAAAAGGAGTTTTCGGTTCTGGTTTACATGACCTACCTCATACCGTTCCGTGGGTATAGTAAGAGGCGACGGGAGAAAACTAAAACAGGAGAGCAACATCATTTCCTGATAACAGCTCTATGGGTGTATTAAAGAAACTTTGATTGGTCACCTACCTATTAAGCGTGCCACCTATGGCAAATATATACGCGAAAATTAATATGAAATTTCACCAATTGATTAAAAGTGCAAGTATATCTAATATACCTAGTTATATTGTTTAAAAAAAGTTGGTACAGGTTTAAAGGACAATGCACAGGGAAACTTTGGTTGGTCACTCACCTGCCAAGCTGAAGTCAAAAAATGAAGATGAAGTTTCACCAACCGCAAATATAAATTATATTTTCTTATTTTGTATTTAAAAGTTGGTACAGATTTGAAGCATAAAGGAGTAGATAAAGGGTATGCGGGATGATTATTTCGTCAAATTTTGATATTTTCTCGTATAATTATTCCGTGCTGCAGCTGTCTCTCACGGTTGCCTAGCTCGGTTGTTCTAGTACAGCGCGACAACAATGTTATAAACCTATTCTTAAAATTTCTTGCATTGTTTGTATTTCCTCTAATTGATTTTATCTTATTATGAACTATTCTTCAAATTTCTTGCAGCTTGGATATCGTCTTATTCATTGTCTTACGACACCAATGGAATGATATGGGGTAGTAGATATTCTTACACCATTACTACACGGTTATGAATTTTGAGCTTAATGAGAAAACTTGCGTACCAAAGGAATAAATATCTCGAGGCATGTAAAGTCTGTACACACTGAAGAAGCGCAACAGACTAATTACTCCATAACCCTCTCGGTAATAAGAGGATAGGTCTGGTCAAAAATATAACGTATAAAGGCAACAACAACTTTACTTTTTTATGTATATATACATATGTATATATACACGTATCATGAGACTAAATTTGCTACAAAAAAGAACCTGGAATTATATAAAATAAAACGCTACATAAAAGATAAATATTATTAAAAAAAAATACATTACAGCGTAGTTCAAATTCTGTGGGAGTCGTCGTAATGGTCAGCCGTTCAGTTAAGAACCTATCACATTTTAATGCTACGTGTGCGGAATTTTCTTTTGTTTCTAATTTCGCCTACATTTGATAAAATAAAACACGAACACGGTTACATTTTAGTAAATTTTTGCAGACGTAGATTACCCAAGACCCGTCGCTTACCCTAACTATATTCCATGCGATTATTCCAAGTTCGCTTTTTAAGTAGTAGCACAGAATAAATTCATAATAGTACTATATTTATACGGTAATAGTTTTTGAAGTTAAACACTTTTCGGACAAAAGTAACATCACAGTTTAAAGGTATCTTTGAATTGTGGTAATATTCAGTAAGTTCTTACGCAGTTTTCGCAAATATGGAGTAGCGCTGACTACAGTAATTCGTGAGTTTAACTTTAATTACATTATATTTAAATTCAATTATTAAGAGAATATTTTAGAAGTAAAAGTGTTATCAAATTCATTGCAAATAAGTTTAAGCAATGTTTCTTACAAAATTTGAATTATTTTGGTATGAAATCGATGGAAGTTTTTGCACTATGTTACTTCTCAACTTCTCCAAGCGATGTGCATTTAATGCAACAAATACAACTTTTTTATCTACTTGCTTTTTGTGAATATAAGGTAACGAAACTAACTGTCCACAGTGATC